AGAAGAAGTAGTCGTAGTCGTAGTCGTAGTCGTAGTCGTAGTCGTTTTCGAAGTCGCAGTCGCAGCAGCAGCAGCAGCAGCAGCAGCAGCAGCAGGAGGAGGAGGAGTAGTAGTAGTAGTAGCAGCAGGAGTAGTAGTAGCTGTAACAGTATAGTTGCAGTAGCAGTGGCAGTGGCAGTGGGAGTAGCAGTGGTAGTAGTAGCAGCACAGGCAGTAGTAGCAATAGTAGGAGGAGGAGGAGGAGGATGGGGGGGGAGGGGGAGGAGTGGTAGTCAGTGACTGCGGCAGTGCTTTGGGAATTCATTGCTGAATGCAGTTCCGCAGGGCCAGAAGGGCCAGAATGACTGGCAGTTGGACAGCATGTCAACATTCTGATAAGCTGGAATCCTCCCAACGGCCTGTTCAGCTGTGGTGTCACAACAAAGGAGACTCAAATCAAATGCCGAGATTGCCGAGATTTGGCAACTCGTGAGAACCCTCTCAACAATGTCAAGAACAGGCTCGTCGGCGACTTGGCCATCTGGGGAAGAATGGAACATCCGATGTGAGCACCCGCGCCGCCTTCGCATCGGCTATCTCTTCGTGTTGCAGTATTGCTGCTAGAGGCTATGCTTTGAAGGCATTACTCGGATCGATTTGGCAGAAACATGATGTATTGCTCCGTCCGGTACGGTACCTACAGCATGAAGTAAAGCCAGCTCACTTGTGTTCCAGCACAAGTTTCCGAACGAATGCAGATTCGGTTGGGTTTTGGCACTCGCCGTCGTTGGACTAGAAGTCTTCTTGGCATACAGGTGCCGGGACACTGTGTTGACTGGGACCGGGTTCAGGATTGGACAAGCCCCAACAGCCCCACTTCAACCCACTCTGAGCCGCTTTGGAAGCGAAGGTTGCAACTCATGGCTGCGTCGACCCCCGGGTCGTCGGGCCTGCAGCTTACAACAGCGGAAGGGCCACCACGTGTGGGGACTTCATGCGCAGCATGGATACTCTGCGAACTGACACTTTATCTACTTATAATCATGTCCGGACAATGTGTCTCGCTCTAAGCTTAGACGATTCCCCCCGTATACTGAGCTGCCGTGTTGTTTTTCATGTGCCTCTCAATGATGGCAACATACCCCCTGTTTTACATCCCGGGGCCCTGGAGCACGACTGAGCACTCTTCTGGAGACCTTCGAAATTACCTACATCACGTTCTCTCTGCGAGAGTTGAGAGTGAACGCCTCTGCAGCTGCGTCTAGATTGACATCGTGAAACCGTTGAAGGCGCTTGTATGAGACTCGCCACAAGAAGCTATTCCTGGCAAGTTGCGACTGCTGCGCCTGAGTGTCAGAAGCAAGCAAGGCATGCTTTGCCGATGCTGAATCATCGAGACTTCATTCGACAGACAGCCGGTGGAGCTTCTCTTCGCGGATGCTGCAATGAAGGCAAGCATAGACTTAGAACTCAAAGAGCCCTAGTTCGGGATCTGGCTTGCTACTGCTAGACTGCTAGTTTTTCCAAGCGTCCGTCGCACTGATCACCATTGGCTCGTCTCCACTCAGAGCACGCACGATGGCCACTCCGTGGACACCGACGCCCATCAGCGCGCCGGTCTTGGAGCAAACAACCTTGCCTCAGGGAGCAATCCCCAACTTCAAAGTATGCCCCGGAGTATGAGCCGCCAGTAGCAGTACTCTGAGAAAGGACACGATTGTGCTTCGGCTTTCGTCTTGGGTTTCTCTGACAAGCCTGGCCAAATAGACTATGCATGTGACACCGGCAAGCCTGTCAACCACACCCTATTGATGTCCCAGACGCCTTGGAGTGAGTGACCCACTGGCATGTCCAGGTCGATGTACTCCAGAGTCCCTCTTGGAGTGTGGCTGTTGAGTTGCGTGAGGGTCAGGGTGGACCGGGATTTAGGGCCTTTTGTCTGGATCAATTCCCACTGCTCACCAGGATGTTTGACTGTTGGACCATAGCCGGCTGCCGTGCGGGTCGCAATCTGCCATACCCCCGAAGTACACACACAGATATCCAATCCGCGGGAGCAGAGATGACGAAGGGGCAATAGCAATAGCCCGCAAAGTTATCAACTAGAGTAACCAGAGCTACTTGCAGAAACCCTCGGTGCCCTTTTTGGCAGTTTCGAAGAAGAGTGATCGTGTAGCACGTCCAGTTAGATTCCAACCCGGAGTACACGATGGCACCCTGAACATCCCTGAACTGTGAACCCAGGCGGCGTCACTCTAAATACTCTAAACCTGCAACCCTGCTACAGAGGCCCGTCTTTGTGCGGGCCTATCTTCCCCTCCAGGATCATCTGCCGAACTCGCTTGGTCACAGGGTGGCTCGTAGGATGCGTGCCCTCCAAAAGGACGCGGCCTCCGTCCTGGCAAAAAGAGCCAACCCTCGCCCTCAGACTTGGAGCTCCCCTCAAAATCAGTTATCCCCCAATGGCCGGAAGTCTAGTCAAGTCAGACCTTTTTTGCATCGCTCAAGGCCGAAACGAACCAACTGTCAACAGGCCATAGAGCTGCCATATCCAAAGTATGCAAAGTACTCGACCTAGCAAGTACACATGGGAGATCGGTGCCCCATCACGTCTAGGAACCTTCTTTCTCCCAACCTGCTTGCGATGATGTCACCCCGAAGCTTCAATAAGCCCTCAAATCATGGGTTCATGTCCGCGCCTCTGCAGCCCTCTGCACGATGACGGCCTCACGGCCATTTAGTACCTGAGTTCCAGCCATAAAGACTGTTCGAGGGGGATTGCTCCGTGATTGCTCCTACCAGGGCTTTCCGAAGCCTTGAGATGCGAAGTCTTTAGCGAGGCCCCAAGCGTGATCGCACGGCGGCACAGCCTGCATGCCTGCGTCAAACTGACCGTGTATATCCTGCTGGCAAGGCACTGACGGAGTCTCACAAAGCACATGCTTCCCTGCTTGAATGGCTTTGACCGTCCAGTGACACCGATGAGCTGCTGGTAGGACGTTGTATACCTAAGTTGCAGTTTGGAGCCACTTTTACACTGGAACTTGATGCTTGCATGCTCTTCTTCGGGACCTGTAGAGTCACTGTAGAGGTGAACTGGAGCCCCGACTATCGAGTGTGGAAGCTGCAGCAGAATCCACTACCCTTACGACTTACAACCGCTTCTGGACTGAGCGGCGGCGTCCACTGTAGGATCAGACAGCAGCTCCTTAACGTCGGCAGCAGACTTGCGGGCAGCATGCAACGATCGAACACGACAATTATGCCCAAATCGGTGGTCGGCGAAGTCTTTCCCGGAAATTGGGGTAGCTTGTCCAGAGACGAGCAGACCTCATTCCTTTTGGATACCCTGGCCTCGAAGCTAGCGTAGGCCTTGGCAATGCCCCAATCCTGGAGCAACGTTTCTGCAAGCACTGAAGCCGCGCACATGGAGCAAACAAAGAACCAGGGTCAATGGGTAACCATGACTTGCTCGTCTATCCATGCTTTTTACTTGCCACTCATTCACTTGCTCTCTCCCACGCACCGCTTATCTTGTAAAACCTACAAAGCACAGCAGAAAGCACTATGCATGAACAACAAACAGCGGAACAAGTCCAGAGCGGAGACCAAAAAGACTACATAGACAGATCAGCTGCCAGTAAACAGTTGGGCATAACCAGTTACGCACTAAACAAATTGATCCGGACACGGTAGAATCTCAAACACTAGCAGGCTGGTGCTTGAGGGTCAAGTGCGACATCTAGGAATCTAGGCCAGATTCCGATTTGGGTTATGTGTGGGAGCTCTGAAGTACTCGGCGTCAGACTTATCCACCTTCTTCACGCACTCTCCTTGCTGCATTTTGACAAGCCATACGTTGGACAGCAGCTCCGTCGCTCTTCGAAACAGAGAACGGCTGGAACATGATCGGAACACGACGTGACATCCCGGCACTTGCACCCGACGCTCTTCAAGCTGTTGGGCTGCAGCACTGGATGGTCACCAAAGACTTCATGGCTGTCCATTACAGCGCCGGGCAGAGCTATAGCCAAATAAACTCTGGACCTGAGGGGAAAACATTAAAGACTTTGAACAGGTCCGTCAACAAAGAGTCGTGGGCACAGTTGCCGGACCTGTCGGCCATGCGGACTTTCTGCGGCAAGTAGGACACGAGCCGGCGCGTTCTTGAGAGGACAGGAACCAACGAGCTATGCACTCCTCGTGAAAGACATGGCCACACAGCAGCAAGGCGACCTGAGGGAATCGGTCGACGTCCTATCTGAGAGATCCAACATGGCAACCTCTCGTCGTGGTGAGACTGTATTTTCGAATATGCATGTACTGTGACCGCATGGCTGTGGAAACATTGCTGCATGTTCCTGACTCGAACTTCTCCATGTAGGGAGATCCGAAGAGAGAGAAAGTGACCAGTCATTCCAGAGGTTCGCGAGAACCGCGGAAGGTTAAAGCAAAGGAGACAGCGGAGGAAGCTAGGAGAGTGACACTGGAGTGATCGTTTGGGAGACATGGAGCGGCGACAAGGCGACATGATTCATCAAGGACGATCTGTGTTGACGGTCCCGAACCTTGCTGTTGCTGGTGAAGTCTTCCAAGCAACAAAGGCAAGTCTGTTGTGCTGCAGCGTCCACTTTGATCTGGTGAGACACCGCGGCCCCGCAGTCCATGATGCCTGGAGCGATTGAAGCGAAGAATCAACACTCGGGGCAGGGGAAAAATCGTTCAGCCGCCCCAGCCACTAGCGTCGAAGTGTAGTTCCCCTGCACTAACCCGCCGTATACATCCCAGCTACTAGCGTAGGTATCAACACACTGCTGACTCGGTCTCCTATCTATCACCGTGTGAAGCGGCCTCGTGCAAGAGGTCACGAGACCTGGCAAAGAAACCCTGCCCAGCAAATCCCAACCGAAGCCAAGTGGCCCTTGTCGTTTTGGCCCTGGCCCAAAGCGACGTTGCGGAAGACGAGGCTTGCAGACAGGAGCATTCCAAACTCGCACGTGGCCATGACGCAACCAGAGTCCTCAGGGAGAGTCGAAAGTGCCACTTTGACTTGCATGCCGGATTTAGCAGCATTGCGACATGACACCATGTGGGGAGGGGGAGAAATGGCTGAGACCGACTGCTGGTCCTTCTTCAATGAGCGTGTGGCCGTGACAGGACGGTCTCCAGCTGCCACGGTCACGGGAACCTCGCCTTGCCTGTGAGGACGAACGTCTCGCAGGAACAAGCATCTGATCACAGCCGTCAGAGTCATTACCAATACCAGGACTGTGTGGACGACCAGGAGCGTCCAACTCGTTGATCCATTTGCTAGAGCTATCAACACGGTCACCAAGTTTGCGAGCAGCGGGACGAGAAGAACAATCGCCAGCACCTTCACAACCCATATGCATCGCATCGCTATCGGCGAAATAGTGACTCGAAAGGACCGAAAGCAATGCAAAAGCCTAGCAATGCTATGCTACACATGTTATGCAGATCGGGTGACACCTTTCAAGGAGAGTTAATCCAGGGCCGTGGAGGCTACAGCTGGGATGGAAACGATGTGTGCCTTTGGTACTGTCTTCTTGCTACATGTTGGGACCATCTCCCCGAGTGCCAAAATGGCTGCATCCAGGCATGCCCTACACACGCCGCTTCCAGCGGAAGGCCGAGAGCTTCATCCTCACACCCGTGGCACTGGATTCGCGAACACTGCGCTTCACATCAGCATGGAGCTATACCATTGCCAGCTCCAGCAAAGCCCCATGGACCCAGTCCTTGCTGGCCGTTTCGGCCTCCGCCTTCTGTAGGGAGGCCAAACCAACAATGTTGATCCTGACTACTATAAACAGTGAACCGTGTCTGAACGCTCTGATTTGGGCTCAGGTCCTTTAGATGTTAGTGGTTTGGGGCTTGAGCATGTACAAGATTGGCCCGTGGGGAAGCGAGACCATGATAGGCCAGTGGCTTGTCTTTGCATGGGCTGCAGGCTGAGAATCTGAGAATTGCTGCCCCCAGCCACCCAACAGCGCCCGTGAAGAGCTCTAACAAGCAATTTCACTTGCCGTACTTGAAACGTTAGCACAACCAAATGCCAAAGTCATTGCTGTGAGCTCACATCGCCTCCGAACAGGAGTATGGAAGAAAGGCATTCTGCATCGAGTTCAACACTGTAAAGATGATCCTTGGGAGCTCTAGGTGTTGCCTTCGCATCACATGCACACTGCCGGACATTCCGTCCTGGCGGCCAAATCTGGATTTTGTCTCAACGGTTGTAGCACCGAGAAAGGCACATTCCTTGGCCGACAGTTGGCATGTGATCCACATCCGATTTCTCACAACAAGCACGGTCACAAACATATCTTCAGTTCAAGAAGACGTAGCAATCACATCCACAGAGCGGAGTGTGCATCCCACAAAGCTACTTGCTGGAGCCTGGGTTCAGGCTATGTCAACTCTCGTTATGGGCTGGGTACAGGGGGGAGGAAAACTGGCAACCCCCCTGACAAAATGAAAGTAGTTGCACATGGACATCGCATTTATAGCAAGCGATTTCACATATGAATCACATGAACTCGGCAACATAGCTCGAACATGATCAACCCGTGAGGGAGGCCTCGCTGCCCCGAGGATGCCCACTCCGAGTTTGCGCTCCGACATTGCAGGGGCCTCGCACGGCGACATGGACCAATGGCAAGGACCTTGACGACACTACATGATCTGGCCGAAGATGATCGCTGTGTTTGTTGAGGCCTTCTGTTGTGGATCTCTTGTCTTTTTTGGTTGAAATCTGGATGTGCGCTCAAGAGCATCTTCACGGATGCTGCATCCGGACAGGTGCGCAATCCTTGCTGCGATTCAGAGGGGAAAGCGCGACAAGAAATAATGCACGAGGACTCCAGATTGAACTTTCGCCATTTATTTGCAGGTGGTTGGGCGATTGGCTCACTGTGCATAGAAACTACTCCATTGTGAAGCAATGGGGCCGCGGGCCCGAGGACGCACCTCAATGCGAGACTGTAAGCAGGCAAAGAACCCAAACCTTCCTCGAGGCGACGCTAAACGTACCAAAGCAGAAGCACTCAACATCTGGAGCCGGTCGCAGCCTTCACCAAGGGCACTGGAGATGCAACGAGTGAAGCTTCAAGCCGAAATGTAGGCAATGAGCCGTGGCCGAGGATAGTCGATGCTGCAGACTCCATGATTCGTTTGAAGTGTGTTGTAGGCAACTGCAGGCGACTGGGCATGGTGAATGCAGTGCATCTGCCACGCATGGCGGACGGGCCTTTGCTGAAGACGGCAGTGGCGGGTTTAGGCGTTTCATTGGAGCCCCCTAGTCTTGAAGTATTGCTTTTCTCTCTTTCACACAGCCCTCTCTCTCGCTCTTCCATTTTCTTTCGTTGGCAAGGGCTCCTGCCTTCTCTCTCTCGCTCTCTCCCTCCTGCTCCCCGCAGGCAATGCCCAAATCATGGGCGTAATGGCGCTTGATGCGAGCCACTGCATGCTTGCGCTCTAATGTCGGCGAGTTGTTGGTTCACGGCAACCTCCAGTCTTGCGATTGAAGTCCCAGTCCCTGTCCAGTTTTAGGTTGCCTAGGCCTAAAGCAGAGCCTCGAGCTCAGCGCACTGAATTTCACATGTCTGCACTGAAGGCAAGCGCAGACCCGAGACTCCCAACACCGAGGCGTGAAGGAGGCACTAGAAGCACTGGCATCCATGACTTACCAGCACACGACGGCTTTTTTCCGTCGCTTGCCCATAGACGAACGACTATAGCCCCACCCCAAACGGATGCATACAAGCGGTGCAAGGAACCGACGCAGTCTAACCGTCTGACCCTACTATGCCTGCTTTGTCTCTTTGTCTGCACGGTGGCCTCGCACCAGCTTGGCTGCACTCTTGTACAGAACAAGAGACACGACGATTGCAACTGATGCAAAGCTTCGGGAAACAAAGAGCCTGTTAACCTGGCTCGCTTGAGCCCTTCGGAAGTGAATTTTGTGCATCGTTACTGGTGCTCGACCCCTTCTCGCTGTTCAACGCCGACAGGTTCCCTGACAATAGCCGGACGGGTTCGTCCGCTGCACTGCCAGTTCCAAAGTAGCGATCACCAAAATTCCCAATTCCGGGCAGGACAGTTCCATTTCCATCGACGCCATCATCGATCTCCGTTGTGATCACCTACAGGGTCTGCGCAGGCATCAGCAAAAGCCCTCTTGTGGTTGTCTTTCGCCATCCATATGAAGGCACTCGTGCTGCCCTGCAAGCAGCTATCTGGAATTGAATGGAGCCTCTGCGCTACGTGGATGGAGGCCCAAAGCCCCAGTACCTCGATTCTGAAACATGCCTGGGGTGTTGGTCCTGTAGACCTTGAAGTTACCAAACAAGGAAGCAGCGACCTTGACCCCCGGAAACTTCTTGCACACCCGCTGGATGCCCTCAGGTGCCGCGATGAGCGTGATCAAGATGATCTTGTCCTGTATACTTTTGGAAAGACTTGGACATGTTGGACAGACGACCCGCACTGAGGGGCAGCATGAGGGCTTACGTAAGAGCTTGTGAAGATGTGAAGCCGAAAGTACCTTCCCAAAATTTCACACCCTAGGCATTCGATTGCACTTCCAGTCCAACTGCTTGCGACAAACTCTAGGTTGTAGCTGCAAGTGCTGCAATCAACGAGTCCTCGCGGACGCTCCGAAGCTCGGTCAGCACTTTGATGGCCGCTGCGCAAGACTGGCCTGAGAGGGGCGGTCAATTGGGGAGGGCTCTGATCCGTTCGCTCCAAGGCTAAGGGCCCTCCTGAAGCCAGGATCGGATCCATCAGTAGCACATGGCGATCTCCGATGTCGAACGGCAGCTTCTCATAGAGCAAATGCAAGCTCCTGCCAAAGTCGCCGACGTACACCGAACTTAGTAGCAAATGGGGTCGCAGGGATGGATCACGACAGCACGTCAATTGCAGTACCTGCCAGAAGAAGGCGTGACCACCTTACGTTAGTTTAAACAGCACAATCTGTTTGCGCCAGTCACTGCATGAGCCGGAGCTGAAACGGAGTTCTGGTGATTCACGGCATTTGTCCTGTCAGTGGTCACCCGGTCGATGAGGATCTTGCCGATCTTCACGCCAATGCAGCACGTGCGAAGTGCATTCTCCATGGCTTCCCCGGAGCGGATAATCGAGACCCCGCAGATCTTCCGAGAGAAGGTGAGGCCATGATAGGACTCACCTACCTTACGGGCAGAAGCAGTGCACAGCTTCCCCAAAGGCCACGGAGCTGCGAGCTGCGGCGAGCTTGCTTCTGACCCCTTGGAAGCCTTAGGAACCCAGAATCGAAGGGCCCAGCTGCCGGGGTGGTGACCTCGGCCTCCGAGAAGGGCAGGTATCCAAGTGCCTGCTCCACGACGAGCCGGATCAAGCGGTCAGCATAGAATACCTGAGCAGGTCTCTAAAGGGTATCTTTGGAATGAACATGGCTCTGACTTTTGTGGGGGGAAGATTCAGCAATTGCGGAAATCGCAGCCAGGCGCAAACTCCTGACGCGGGGTAGCCCGCGATCGGATCTTCGTGTGCATCCCACGGGTCTGCATAGTGGCTGGCATCACGTGTAGGTTTGTGTAGATACGACGCAGGTCATGCATGCCCAGCTTGGAGCGTATATTCTGCGTGATGAGATCAACCGCCACATCATTGTTGTCCCTCCACGGGATGATGATGTCAGCATTGTTTTTGCTCGGCAGAATGTATTGCTGGAAGGACGGCTTTACAAAGCGAGTGTATTGTCGAATGACGCCTTCGACATCTCGTCCCCGCTCCAGGGTGTCACGCTTGATCCTTCGTGCTAGCCGGACGTCGTCGTCTGTGTCCACGAAGATTTTCATGTTACAGAGCTCCAGTGTTTCCTTGAGGTGAAGGACGAGAATACCCTCCAGAATAACGACGTCACAAGGGGCCACTGTGCGAACTTGGTGGGCAGAGCGGCTACTAGTGACGAAGTCGTACACTGGAACATGTGCATATTTCCCGTCCCGCAAGTTCTCCAAACACTTCACAAGCTCACCGACATCGAAGGAAGCAGGCTCGTCAAAATTCACATCGCCGATGTTGGCCTGGGCTTTGTTGTCTCAAGTTTTACGCGGACCTAGCACCTGGAGTAGGAGCCGCAGAAGGAAAGCGGTGCCATGGAACGGCCAAGCATCGCACTCTTGAGGGGTCAGGTCCCTGTAAAACTCATCAAGGCTGATCAGGGCAACTCGTTGGTCGCCTGTTTGTGAGAACTGCGGCAGCCAAAGCCAAATCATGGATTTAGGTTTCGCACAGTTATCAAGAAAAGGCATGGATGATGAATCTTCCCTCTTACAAGCCTAGTGCTTGCATGAGCATTTGGCACACCGTTGTCTTCCCACTGGCAGTTCCACCCGCGATGCCGATGATGAATGCCTGAAATGTCGAGGCCTTGGCAGTGCTCTCCGACATTCTTTGCGTGACCGCTGCAAGCGTGTCAAGTTCGATGGACTGGGAGATTACCTCCTCTGAGCCGGTGGTAAACTTCGAGCTGTTCCTCGAAAGTGCTTCGACCTCAGGCCGCGCGATGTATTACGACTCAAACGCAACAACAACGACGGCGACAACCCGTAAACCACAATCACCACCTCTACCAACACGATGAACAAATAAGCGCGAAGGGTTATGATAACCCAAGCAGCAGTACCAGTACTCATGAAACCCCGCAGACCACAAATCGCAGAAACATATGCAGGAAAAACAGTAGTAGTACTGATAATACTAATAGTAATAATTATCAACTAATAAAAGTAATAATGATAATAGTAGTAATGATACTTGTAATGATAATAATAAGAAGAATAATGATTATTATGATGATAATAGTAATAACTGTAAGTGTACATGTGTTTCAAAGTCGTCCCTGCCATTGCCTCGGCCTGGGCCTCAGCAAATTTCACACTCTGCAGAGTGCCAGATTTCATGGCCCATGGCAGACCATCGACTTGGACTGGAATTAAGAGTTCCAGCTTTAGTTTTGGTTTTGTGACTTGACATAGGGTGCTTTTACTATTGCTGCGATCCGCAGGAGGACACGGCTTAGATACAGCAAATTCAACACCCTCCTGAGCTCGAGTATATGCCCTACCGCAACAGACTGCAATGCTTCGCGAGTAGTGGAAACACTGCCCTCTTTCTATACACTCTACACAGACGGAGAACTGAGCACATGACTGTCCCAATTGGCCCCCGGCGTCCATCCCCAGTCCGAACACCACGAAAGCCGGCAGATTCGGGCCAATAAGCTGTTTGACAGGCAATCGGATGCGAGCGCTAATTGCAATTTCCCAGACAGCGACTTGCGCAGCAAGTACATGTGAATAGACGCAACAGCTGCAGCAGCAAAAGCAGAAGCGAACCAAAGCACAAGCGGTGCAGTGTCCGATTCTTGGAGTTTAAGCTCACTGCTTCGAACTCTCAGAGTCGTATCCTCAAGCCAGCTTGGACCGGCAAGAGTCCCCGGCGGATCCCGCACCCACCCCCTTTTTGTCTGCGGGTGAAGGCCACATCTGTGAATGTGCAGATGCAGGGAGCTACAGGCGCAACGTGTAGCAGCACAAAGTAAAGTGAATGGAACATGCGCTGCAGCTGTAAGATGCTGCGTGTCATAAGCAGGATCTTAGTCCGGAACGAGCAGAGAAGGCTGAAATCACCGATGACTATTGCATTTTCGGTGAATGCAACGAATTCATCTCTATTCGCACAGTGGGCACTTGGAGCATTTCATCCGCTTCAAGGGCCCCCATGGTGCCTTAATCGAACGAGACCAGCGAGCCGTTCTGTCTTGCTGAACTCATAATTCGTGCTTTGATTGGCATGGTGCTGAAATTGCGAGTCCAGGTAACTAGCAAGGGTGACATGCATGGGTCAGGATATTCTTCTCACGACGAGAAGAAACCAACTGACTAGAAGGCAGCAAGGGCGTTTTACTGTATCCTTTCACATCTGAAACGCATGGCTTAGGGGAGGACGAGCTCAACTCTGGTTGCCGAGCTATTTGCTGGTATCTGTTTCCAATGGCGGCCAGGCCCATCAGACGAAGTAGCCGCAGCCCCGTGTACACAGCATCGCTTGCGGTTGCTCTTGTTGGCCTTATCCACACTAGATCACAACCAGACCGGAATGTTCCCGAAATTGAGCAGCTGAGCAGACCCGTCGCGAAGGCAGAACCACAAGCTCTGGCCGAGTCGAGGCTTAAGAGTCGAATGTTTAAGCCATTCAGCATCCTTCAACGATGGGCAAACCAGTGTTACAATGTTACGGCCCGAAAGTCGTCTGAATGCAAACTTAGAGACAAGCGGCAAGAAGCGCAAATGCGAGACACCACTGC